CCGTTCTCTTCCATGTGTCCCACCATTTTAACCGATAACGACGGAAAAGTTCGGTTTATTATCGGTGCCTCTGGCGGGAAAAGGATAACCACAGCTGTATCACTGGTACGTCCAATCCTATGTTTGTACGTTCTTTGAATCTTACGATATGATTAATATAGCTAATAAGCACTTTAAGTAATTCAACTCCACCCAACTTAATTTCGAGGAAGATCAAGATAACAGAGAAACAAAAGGACAGGCACCTTACATATCTTTCTTATGTACCAGCAAATCCAATAGTAAAGTTGTTCTATTGGTATGGATTTTCAAGCTAAAGAAATGGACGCGGCCTGGAACAGTAAATCCGTTTATGATTATAGGTGCAGACGGGTTCCATTCACACGTAAACGAGGACTGAATGAGTTCGTTCATAAACTGTATCTGTTCACCCGATGGACACTTGACTTCAACTAAACGAACTCCCACTCAGATTACTACAACGTTCTACTGAAATTCCACCATCCGTATGAGTACGAATTACCTCTAGAAACGGCTTTGTCGACCTTGTTTATGACAACAATTCTCAAATCTTGGACGCTTCTCGAATGAATGTACAATGTAATACACGACATATTGAACGAAATTAGAATTACAAACAACATAAATTTCGTGAAGGCAAACGATAATGTCACTTATCCAACAAATAAAAAAAAAATAATATTTGCATTCACTTAAAGCCAACGGATACCAATTCACATGGTGCTATACAGAGTGTTATTTCCGGGCGGGTGTAAATTTACTCACAGTTGCGAAAAGGTCATGAAGCCAACAAAACTTTCAGAAAGGAAGGGAGGATCGTTTTGAGGACTCTTTCACTATACTAAATTACAATGTACTCATTGGATAATACTCTAAATTTGCCAAACAAAGTACCTGCTTAATTCTAGCCCGTGCAAGTATTTAAGAAATCGCACGCACACGCGAGCTAATTATTTAATAAAATTGTTTTCATTAGGACTAAGACTAAGGAAATGAAGAAACCGATGTTGGTTGGACGTTACCCGACAAGGAAATAGCATGAGCCAGTTTTGCTTCGCTGATATATTCGAACTCATGTTTTTAGATTTAAAGCTTTGAAATAATGTAACTTAACGACAAACTAAAATTGGAAGAGTTCGCCAATCAAACTGGTGCGCAGACGAAGCGAGTACAAGTGGCTTTTTGCTTTGCACTGCTGAAAAAAAGTGTTTGAAGTCACTCACGTCGGCACTTGTTTCAGTGACAACTACTATTGACTATGTAATAACTAAGTACTTACAATTCCGACCATTTCTTTCGTAGCCATTTGCATGCTGTCGAACGTCATGATTGCAGGCACTCGTGCGTCCTCAGAAATGCTGTCGCGCGGCTATGTCAAAAGATCTACAGATACGTAGTGTAACGCTTATAAACGAAGACGAGTAATAGGGTTCACACATGTTCGTTTTTAGAAACCACTATGATTTAGCATGGCTTTGGTAAAGACAAAGACTTACCCAGAACTTAGCGTTGAAACAGATTAATTATCGGTGTTTTACTTTATCCCCCTTAGGGTTCAGTCATTATTTATTGGTCCACGCAGAGACGAACTCAGCTTCTTTTGAAAACCTATCAGCGTGGATCAGAGCGTTAAGTTAGTAATCTCTTCCCCAAAGCGGATATAAGCCAGCTCTTCTTTGCTACTACTGTACGCATGTAGTACTAATGCAAATATATACTCTTGCATCTGCAGGTCTTAATGAACAAACTCTGGTTTGGAGATGACTTGTCTAAAGCAGTAGACGAACCACGACTGCACTCACAACTGGTGCCTGATCAGACAGTATTTTATGAAAAACATAAGCCCTACCGCGTTCAAGAGAGCGTAATTGAAGGCTTAAGAGAACGAGGTCACATCGTCAACGGAAGTGATTTGTTCGCCGTGGTGCAGGCGATTTATAAGGAACCAGGAGCAAGAATATTCGCCAAGGCTGACCCGAGAAAGCATGGGGCGCCCGCGGGTGAATAGAAATTTTGTTCTGAGACACTCGTCAGTTTTGTTGACTAACCTTGACTCGTTCGGCTTTAAAACGCCATATTTCTTGGTAACGCATATTCTTCAGGTGTTCTCATAACACAGTCATTCTTAATGCGAAAAAGCAAAAAAGCATAACCACTTAGGTTAGTATTCTACAAGAAAAGAATCCCAAAGTGTATAACTTAGATTAATTTTAAAAGTAATAATATAAGACTCAAACAAAACTACATGGGGTAGACTTTTAATCATGTCGATATTCTATTCAGCATTCTGGATATACATGCATTATTTGATTTATGTAGTTCACTTTGTTTGAGAAAGTGTATAACTTATGAAAAATTATTCAACTTATTTCCAGTCATTGCTATTTTAAACCTAGAAAGCGCCAAACTAATAAGCGAAATTGATCTGATCGAGTTCGCAAACCTTTAACGGAAATAATTCCATGCAAAGGAAAACTGAACCTACTTTTTTAGAACTGACGGTTAAGAATATATGAAGGTCATATACGGGATCCCGTACAGGCCTGAATTTTTTTCAGGCCTTATTTTCACTACTGCCTAAGTAGTGCACATCACTGCGAAGATCACTTTCATTCATGTTTTTTAGAACTGCTTGATAGTCTGAAGGTAACTGCAGCTATATTTTCAACCACCTTTACTCAAATATCGGAATACGATGTCTAAACCAATCAGTCACAACTATGCTGTAAATGTTGGCTCGTTCAACTTTCTTGTCCCACTCCCTTTTTGTCACAAACCTACCACTCAGTTCAAATACCTGACCTGTCAGACAATTAGATGTCCTGCTTTGTTAACTGACAAAGGGCGGGGAAGTTAAACTCCAGGTCCCTCTTCCCCTTCTCTTCAAATTTATAAAAAAGATCACCTTTCCATTCAAATACTTGATACAATGTTTATCACAGTCTGACACTAAGAAAAATTCGTCACATTTTACGCAGTGAACAGGAGTGCTGAAAAACTCACCAAGTTAATATAAAATTTGCCATCATATCTTCAGCAAACTTTTAGATGTTTCGTTTCTCTGCAACAGCTCGCGCTTCGATATAATTACACTTTCTTTCGTTTTCCTCCGCTCAATTATTTTCCTTTTGCGAATCGATCACAGACTTGACTTGTAACTTGCGTTAACTTGCTGCTTCCTCTAGAAGTATCTTAGCGTGACCATCATGGATGGATGCAACACAAAACACAAATGGCAACGTCACAGTTCTCGCAAAAGAACTTGTGTCTTATTTTTTCGTGATGCTTCTGTTGGCAAAATATTGGCCGCTCTGAGAAGTCTTCCATGTCTTGATCTTCAAAATCTTTTAGAGCCAGAATTCGGCGCTCCATAATCGCTTTGATTATGTTATGCGTGGTGATACACACGTCACACCAGAACGCACAGCACTAAAAACAGCACGAACTGTGTCTGCTTCTTTTGTCGCAGTTACAAATTTCACTCCAGCAGTCTAGCATTCTTTAATGGCCAGCACAACTGGCAAACTGCTGATACCAAAGTTTGTGGACAAATCCTTTTAGCTTTGCACAGCTAGGGACTCCAATTTCTCTTCGACATTCAGGACAACTGAATAAAGACATCATGGCGGCTACTCGTTTGTAAGATCCCGTTCAAGTAGTGAAGACAGAAACTGTGCAAACATGGTAGCTGTTTTGGTTCAGCAAATATGTTCCTACACACAGAACAGGATACTTCGTCGTGAAGGTTGTCAAACAAGGTTTTTATATCATAGTTGAGTACTATAAACGGAAGAAAAGAGTTTGAGTTGAAATAAGCCTCAGCAAAAAGCTTGACCTCTATCTACTGCAAATCAAGTCAGTGACTGTGAAACTCAGACACAGCATATATACTCTCCCTGAAGAATCCAAACATTTTATCGAAATCTTTAATATCATTTTCTATCGGAGTAAATAAGTCAAGAAAGTCAATGCAAGTCAGAAAGCTAAACAAAGCTCGCATCTTTTACCTGACCTGTTGTAAAATATTTTAATATCGCCACTCAATCGAGGTAAATTGAGAACGAGAGAGATTGAGTACATATCCCTAGGGGTAGGGGCACGGGTTTGTATGGTTAAAGTTTCAGGAATATCCGTAAGAATCGAGCACGAGTTTTGTACTTACTCGCAACGCCAACGCGCGGTTTTCGTTGCAAAATGGAAGCTACGATAAGCGACGGACGGTAAGTATAAAGTTTATCTCAGTATTCTGTAAAGCAATGTTCAGTGTGCAGTTTCTGTTGTAAAGAACTTACATACCAAGACTCAAGTTTGGAAACTTCTGAAAGACATGACACGACAATTGTTTCACATTCTGCGAAATGTTCCAATCTTTTTACCTCAAATATGCAGCCTGTGATGACACGGAATACCACGAAAGATAAATGCAATATTCTACAACCTGAATGTGTCACGAAATTTAAGTATCTGCTACATGAGTAGTCCATAAAGTTTTCTAACTCGATCGGTTTTCAGCTAAATCGCGTGATACCACGTGGTTTTCCTAGAAAACTTCAATCCTTGCGACATATTTTTCATGTTCCTTCATATCGCTTTGATAATTTCGATTGTATCTGCTGTTAGCAGAGATCATTCAAAGTAACTGGGTCTAAACTGCTTGCCACGACAACTCGCAAATAAAATTAACCAGAACGTTTTTTTAATAGCAACTAAAATATGCATTTATATCACTTGATAAAGATATCTTTTATCTAACATGTAGCTGAGTAGCATTTTCTCTCTTCATCATTTGAAAATGTATTGTGACTTTTGTTTCCAACACATATATCGGAAAATATCACTGTGAGAAATTCCGAACTTTTTAAGAAATGTGTTCAAATCTAAGCTATTATGTGAATTAAATTGTACGTACCTTGACCCTGGGAAGAAAATTAGATGCATATTCAAATTTTAATTTCAAAAGAAATTAACTGTCGTGGAAACCGTCGTTTCGGTTGCGTGACAAAAATTACAAATGTGACGCATTCATTAAGGGACTTTCTTCCATCCGAAAAAAACACCTGGCTTGTTTGTTTATCTTCAACTTCAACTTCAACTTCATGTATTTATTTAAAGAAATATAAGGTTTACAAAACTTCATGTCCTGCAAATAGCTACAATGCTAATCTAGGCAGGACAAGACTTTAACTAAAGGCGTTATTAAATTACATAAGAAAAAAGAAAAGAAGAAATACAAAAACATACAGAAAGAAACACCTTACATATAAATTCAAGTACAAGGGATTTTGTTATTTGAAAAAGACTAAAATTACAACTAGAGGTATATACAATATATCAGGTTAACTTCACAAAATATTCTATTAAAAAATTAACATTCAAATAATTATCTTCATTACCTAGAACATTAAGGAGTAGTGATTTAATTTTTTTACGAAAATTAGAAATGTTGAGAGTCTTAAAAGAAAGTGGAATATAATTCCAAATAGACACACCGATTCTAGTAAAAGATTTTTTCATTTTTTCAGTTCTAGAGAATTTGACAGAGAAGCATTCTTGCAGATAATCGCGTATTATAATGATGTTCTGTATTGATTTTCGCAAACTTATCGAGAAGACTTTTAGGAGCTGTCTTAGCATGAACGTCATACATTAAATAGCTTAACTGTTGAAAGAACAAAGACTGCAAAGGAAGGCAGTTTGATTCAATAAAAAAAGGGATTGCATGGTCTCTGGGTTTAGAAAAATAAATCAAACGCAGAGCACGTTTTTGCAGAACAAGTATCTTATTGAGGTAGGTCTGTGGACAGTTGCCCCATGCACAGATACCATAATTTAAATAAGGAGAAATAAGTGCATGATCTAAATTCAAAAGAAGACGCCGTGGAATGTAATGCCTCATTTTAGCAATTATTCCAACCGATCTACTAATTTTGTGACAGATAAAGTCAATATGATGCTTCCATGATAGTTCAGAATCAATCATTACACCCAAATATTTAACAAAGTCCTTCATCTCTAGAGTTACTCTAGTATTTAAAGTTGGATTAAAAATCTTAATTTGAGGAATGAAAGGCATTCTTTTTTGGTGGGGACTAAAAATGACATAATTAGACTTTTTGACGTTGAGCGTTAGTTTGTTAGCATTAAGCCATTCGCTTACTTTCTCAAGTTCATTATTGACAGTTAGTTCAAGAGTACGTAAGTTGTCATTTTCATAAGTTAGACTTGTATCGTCTGCGAAAAGATAAAAAGTAAATTCCTTGGAATCATCATCATGAGGAGGTCTATGATAAACGAATGTCTTGTGGTAAACGCCACTCGTGCGCCACAACTGGACGCTAATTATGAGGACGTATTGTTATGATATACTTTACGTTCTTCCAACACTTCCCTTTTATGAGGCAAACGCCATCATTTAGTTTTTATACGACCTAACCTTAAGTCAATACTTTAATACGAGTCTTCTCCTTTTAGGAAGATCATAATAATTGTGGTTGTGGGCGTGACCACACTTTTGACGACGGGAGGCAGTCTTCTTGGTAATTACTTAAATGAAGATTCCCCCGACCAATCACCTGACAAATCATCTGGCGGACCCTATGAAAGTAGAGTGGTTGCCACAGATACACCGGATTGCTCCAAAATCGGAACCGACACCCTAAAAGTTAACGGTTTAGCAGTGGATGCTGCCATCGCCGCCATGTTCTGTCTGGGTGTGGTCAGCATGCACTCATCAGGGATAGGAGGTGGGGGAGTGATGTTGGTGTACGATCAAATATCAAAGAAAGCCACAGTCATCGACTTTAGGGAAACTGCCCCAGCCACAGCTCACAAGAACATGTTTAAAGGCAACGAACTTAAAGCCAAGAAAGGTCAGTCAATTCTTTCCGTTGATCGTAGCGCTTTTTAAATTCGTTGTTGTTTTTCTAAAACCAAGATTGTGTCGATTGCTCACTTGATTTTACTAACCTCATCGATGTTATTCATTTTTTTGCTTAGTGTAATATTAATCAGTTCTGATATATCAGTTTACATGTCATAATATCCAATCCACCGTTAAACCTCTCCTAAACAGACCTTAGTTCAAGTGTTTTTACGATTCATCGAGTAATCTTTAAAAAGAGAAAAAAATCAGATAAACTCACCCACCAGATCGTTTTATCATTTAAGGTGGTCTGTCTATCGCTGTTCCCGGTGAGGTGCACGGTCTATACGAGGCTTGGAAAATATATGGTCGGTTACCATGGAAACGCCTGGTTCAACCTGCCATTGATTTGGCCAAAGATGGATTTATTGTAACTCAAGCTGTGAAAGAAGCTGTGCGTGAGAATAAAGAAGATATTAAAAACGACCCAGGATTAAGGTAAGAGTAATTCATTGCCTGACGTACGGATAACAAGTAAACTGGTTGTGGAAATTGCCACGACCGTGCGCACAAAGACAACAATCTAATAACCAGTCTCATTTATCCCCAAGGGAGGGGAAGGGTAAGAGGAATTTTGGAGGATCATATGGTTTTCAGGGTGAGGGGGATCAGCCGTCCTAAACAGGGTATAAAGGGGTAAGTATGGAAAATTGGTTACCAATTAAAAACCAGAGTAAGGATTCAAACGATTGGCGTTTCATTTCTCGAGGGTAACTCTGTTTTTTTTCCACTCCAACGGCTATAACAATACTAATAACATCTTCACTTCTTTCACTTTCAATATTTCAGGGCGCTGCTCCTTAAAGACAATGAGCTGGTTAAAAAGGGAGATGTTATTAAGAATGTAGAGTACGCAAGGACTCTAGAAAGAGTGCGTGACGATCCTGACTCCTTTTACAGTGGAACGCTCGCTAGGGACATATTGCGTGACATTGGGAAAGTCAATGGGATCGTGACTCAAAGAGATTTAAGGAGTTATACGTCGATTATAAGAGAGCCATACCAGAGTAACATCCAGGACATGACAATGCACCTGACCCCACCCCCCACAAGTGGCGCTGTGCTGGCGCTGATCTTAAACATTTTAAGAGGTAGGAGTTGTTGACAAAACAACTATTTAACTTTCTTATAGAGAAGACTTTCTGCGAGCATATGGAAAGTTCCCCTTCTAAGTGCTTTATGCAATCTTCAGATTATTGACTATATTTATTGCCTTTTGAATGAATTGAAAACACGCCATTAACTAGCAAGTGCCTCAAGGCTGTCAGAAACGAGGAAGTGCGACCTTAGCTTTACTGGATTTCAATTAGAATCAAATAGAGACAGGTAAATTAAAAAGTAGTTTTGGTTGACCCATCAACTTACAACAACTTGTTTTCATGTCAAACTAAATTGAATGATATTTTACTCGAAAGATTCGTAAAAATCAGCCTCCTTTTGTGGAATACTTCTATCGTAGGGTACGACATGACATCATCAGATCGCGATGACAAGAACACCAAAGGGCTTACTTATCATCGAATCATTGAATCCTTTAAGTTCAGTTATGCGAGGCGCGGTCAGCTTGGAGACCCCGAGTTTGACTCCAGAATAAATGAGGTAGGTGACATGTTACAGTTGGTACAGAAGCGCCATTTTTATTATTTTTTTGCCTAACTGGTTGTTTGAAAACGCTTGTCAAACTATAACCAAAGTATTACATGATAAGTGACAAGCCTTTTCCAGTTGGAGATGGAATGGTGCAAAAACACATTGCTGAAGAACCAACCTGCCCTTTGGACATCCATAGCAAAGCTACTTTCATTCTACTTCCCTTGCTTTGTCAATAACAACCAGCCAATGACCAGGAGTTTGGTTGTGTGACGATTTACCTGATCCCCCATAATGCACTGTAATGTTCTTATGATCTTCCCTTGATGCAGTTAATTGACAGTCAATATAACCCCCCCCTTTATACACTGCTAGCTACGACTGACCCCCACCCTCCACTCCCCCAGAAAAGAGTCTGAAAACCATGTGATCCCTCCCAAATTCGATTCATTAAGAGTCTTCTTCTTGATTCTACTTTGCATATCATTAACAATCACAAGTTTTTTCGATGCGATTTTCGATCCACCCTAGGACTGATTCATAGCAAACGGAACATTGAACCTACATCAAAAACTGAATCAAACATTCCTTCATTTCCATGCCATTCATTTCCCTTATGAATCAAACATTAAGTTCATGAGAATAAGGGAAATGATCACCGACTAAAAAGGAATTTTTATTCTTAAATAAATTCTCCCTGTCAGCACTTTAGGAATTGTATAGAGAACAGTATAGAGAATATGCATACTGATGTTAGGATGTGGAGGGTTCAAGGATCAGGTAATACGTTGTAGTTTTACTTTTATCTTCAAAGAGAGCGGAAATGATGTTAGATCCAGAACTAGGTGATGACCTTCGTAAAAAAATACGGAACAAGACAAACAAGAATGGAGCGTATTACGACGCGGATTCATTTTCGAACGCTGATTACGGTACGACACACGTGGTTGTAATGGACCAATATGGAAACGCAGTTTCTGTGACATCCACTATCAACATGAAGTGAGTTAGTTCAGTTGGAATTACGGGTTACACCAGTGGACCTTGAGTTCACCATAACTAAGGGCCCGGAAAGGGTAGCTTCTCATGGTTCTTGCTTTGACGACAAGAACCACAGAAAGCAGTCGCACTCGCAGGTTTAGAAGATAGTTAGAATATGATTATCGCTTTCCACACTTTACAACTTTGACGCTTGACTTTTTTGTTACTATAGAATAGAGGTAAGAAAAATTAAGAAGAGCCTCTTGCAGTTGTTAAAAAAAGATGACAACTTGCATGGTAGCTAATGAGAAAGAAACCAAATTTTGAATGCTTGAAGAAGGAGAGGTAGATCTGTAATGCCAAACTTGAGCTCTGTTTGAAACTCTTCAAGAGATATGGCGTCAAAAATATCGTCAATCCTTCCTCAATGCTTGTGCGGATGCTTTCTCCTCTTTGTAACGATTTCACAAACAGCCAATAATTCTTCTTTGTCATTCTCTTCATCTCCAAGAAGGTAAACGGGTGCTTCTAGGATAGCTTTTTTCGCTTAACATAGAAAAAACATTCGAACTCGGACTCGTGACTTTGTTTACAATCCAAGTTGCAATTTCCGTCAGCACGATTACGAGAACGAGACACTAGTACCAATTCTCGGACGGTCAAAACACGTTCTCGTATTCGTCATCGTTCCCTTATTTCGAGCTCTCTAAAAATTATGTCATGGCTCAGCTGGAAAGAGAAAGTCGTTCACACGAGGAGAACTTCAGAAATCCACTTCCCAGTTAGTAACCGGAATTTGTTATCCAGCTGCAAATAAAGTGCGAATTAAGTACAAATATCACCGATATTTGGACAGCTGGTTATTTTGTATAGTAGAAAAAATCGTCGTTTCTATTTTATCTTGCTTAGCGGGATCAACGAAATAGCACAACATGTAAAAATGCTCAGTGATACTACAAACCAAAATGTCTGATGAGATATACATTTTTTTTTGTCAGTTGGAGCTTAAGACTTACAAAAGCGGTTTTGTAAAATTTTCACTTCATTGTCCTGCGCTTCTCTGACAGTAATGAAGTTGCTTTGTTTTGTTTTTCCAACAGGTTTGGCGCTAAATATCGATCCAATAAAACAGGCATCATTTACAACAATGAGATGGCCGATTTTGATAATCCTGACGACGACCCAGTGGATGATATTTTTCCTTCACCATTCAATTTTCCTGAGCCAGGCAAGCGACCGTTCTCTTCCATGTGTCCCACCATTTTAACCGATGACGACGGAAAAGTTCAGCTTGTCATCGGTGCCTCCGGCGGGAAAATGATAACCACAGCAGTGTCACTGGTACGTCCAGTCCTTTTTTTCTACGCTACTTGAATCTTTCGATTTGATTAGTATGGGTACTCCGCCCAAATTTATCCACAGTGAGAAGAGATTAAGATAGCAGAGAAACAAAAGGACACGCACCCTACATATCTTTATTATGCATCAGGATATTCAGTTGTAAAGTTGCTCTATTGATGTGGATTTTCCAGCCAAAGAAATGGAGGCGGCCTGGAACAGTTAAACGGTTTATGTCTGTATGTGCATGATTATAGGCGTTGACGGTTTCTTTCACACGTAAACGATGCTTACATGGATTTTACCATGAACTGTATCTGTTCAAACAAGTTCACGCTCTTAACACCGCCACTTACTTCTCCAAATAGCATTTCCTCCTGTTTCCTTTAATAAATCTCGAACCTTGAATGATTTTCGAATCAATGTACAATGCAACAGAATTACAAATACTCCGGAATCACAATCACAAACAAAGATAATTTCGTTAAGTATCGAACGTAAAAGATACAGAGCACTTCGTCATTAAAACTATACTTTTTTCAGGTACCTTGACAGTATAATCTAACAAATTTTCACATCTAAACAATAAATTTAAAACTGAGGGTAAACTTTTTAGTTAGGAGAAACGATGAAGGCACTTATTTGATGAAAAAATGTACTTACAGGTAAAAATTGCCTGACATTTTCAGTTACAAATGCCGACGGATACCATTTCACGCAATCTCATTGAGGATGTTGCTTAAATCTGGGCGGGAGTAAACTTGCTCATGGTTGTGACGAGATCCTAAAGGCTACAAAAATTTCAGTGCTTTGTTCAAAAATAAAAGGAGTATGGTTTCTAGAATCTTTAACATTACATCACCATGTACTCATTTAATAATTACTTAAATTTGCAAAACAAAGGCTCCCCTTCAAAACGGGGCATTTATTTAAGACATCGCACTCACACGTGAGCTCATGATATGATAAAAATGTTGTCAATAGGACAAATCAGACAAAAACTAATTAAATGAATATACCGATGTTGTTTTGACGTTATTACCCTACTAATATATAGATTTAGCCAAGCCTAAAAGCGGAGCTCGCATTTTTTTTTTCCCACACAACTTGTCCCGGCCAGCACTAAAACCCGGGTCGTCCGATTCGGAGCCCAGTGCAATGACCACTGGACTACTGAACAAAGCCCGCGATACAGTTGACCACGCATGTCAAAAGTAGCACCTTATACGGTCGTACGGTCGTACCATTCGTACGGTGGTACATGCAAATTTTTTCGGCTTAATGGGTTTCTACTATTTTGTATAATTATGGGGCTACGCTCTTCGAGCTCCGCTATAAAACAGTTTAAACGAGTTTTGCCTCGATTATATATGCGAACAAATGGTTTACAGACTTTACGCTTCGAAATAATACAACTAAGCGAGCAGAGTGCTTCATGACAAATAAAATTTGGGAGAGTTTGTCGTTAAACCGACAGATCTGGCACAGATGAAGCGACTGCAATTAAGTACAATTGGCATCTTGCTTAGAACTTAGCAAGACTGAAGCGTTCAAAGTCATTTGCGAAGACACTTGTCGCAGCTATATCTATAATGGACTACTAGAAAGACAAAGTGAACGTGTAAAGAAATTTTCATAACCAAGTACTCACTATTTCGACTATTTCCTTCGCTGTCTTAATTGGTATGCTGTCGAAGGTCAATACGTACTGCAGGCACCAATGTGTCCGCAGTAATACTGTCACGCGGTTGTATGATAGATATATAGAGATATGTAATGTAACAGTAATAAGCTCTAAAGAGTTTTGGGTAAATATAAAAGGATTTCCCGACGTTTTTGTATATAGAGACGAACTGAGGGTTGAAACGGATCAATTGTTAATGAATCAATGTATCTGCCTAAACCTCAGTGATAAAATAAACACACAGTCGCTTTTATCACCCGATTTTTGGTGCGTTTTTGATGTGACGAGGTGAAAGTAACGCGAAAATGTAAATTGTACGATGAAAATATTTTATTTTTCTTGGTCCACACAGAGACGAACTCAGCTTCTTCTGAAAACCTGTCAGCGCGGATGAGAGCGCTAATCTAGTAATCCCCCCCTCACAGCAGATTTAAACCGGCCCTTATTTGCTACTACTGTGCACATATAGTACTAATGCAAATATATACTTTTGCATCCGCAGGTCTTAATGAACAAACTCTGGTTTGGAGATAACTTGTCTGAAGCAGTGGACAAACCACGACTGCATTCACAACTGGTTCCTGATCAAAAAGTACTTTATGAAAACAAAACGAAATATCGCATTGACGAAGCCGTAAGAAATGACTTAAAAAAACGAGGTCACAACGTCATTGGCAGTAATTTGTTTGCTGTGGTGCAGGCGATTTCTAGGGAACCTGACGGAATATACGCCAAGTCTGACCCGAGAAAGTATGGTGCACCCGCGGGTGAATAGAAGTGCGATCCCGAGACACTCGCCCGACAAAAACTCGCTTTTAAACCCTATCCAATGTGGTAACAACTTATTTTCCACAAATGAGCGGAAAGCTGCAATAAGCTACTGAATAATGGCGCTTCACTAGGATAGAAAAGACATTTTCCTTTTCTTTTTTATAGAAGTTCTGATGCATCTTTTGTCGAAATTAACGTTTACTGTTAGAATTTGAGAATGATTTATGATCCTTGTCCTTTGATATCGTTCTCCGATTTGAATTATGTTATTTTAAATAGGCAGAAGCGTTAAATTCATTCGTCTTTTTCCGTTGATTTAATTTTCTTAGAATTTCCATTTTATTATGTTGGACTCAGCTCTGCATGGACGAGTAGAATTGGTTTGCTTACACGCTATAGATTTAATAGAATAAAACGAGGTCACAACGTCACTGGCAATTTTAGTTAGTTAGTTATCCTTAAGTAGTTAGTTATCCTATTTGTTATAGAATTAATCTTTTATTATAACTATTTATTAATGTAGTTTCCTCGAAGATATTAGCACCCGAGTGCTACACTGTAAATTCGAGGGAAAATAAAGTTTATTGATTGATTGAATGATTTGTTGCCGTGGTGCAGGCGATTTCTAGGGAACCGGGAAGAAATTTATATGCCAAGTATGACCCAAGAAAACATGGTGCGCCCGCATGAGAAAACGATTTTTTCCCGAAACATTCGTCAGTTTACTCGACTGATCTTAACTCGCTTAAAACGCTATATTGCATAAAAACGGCGTTTTTGCAACTGTTTTCATAACACAGTCATTGTTATTGAAAAAAGCGATGCTTGAGGGGAATATGATTGGCGCAATTAACTGATAACTGAACGATTTTAAAATGGATGAGTGTTAGCAAAACAAACTTCATCACCATCATCTTTTATTTGCCTTATTTACACATTACAAAAAATATATTAACAGCGGTTATAGCTAGAAGGCGAGGAGACCCAGGAAGCCACCGGGCTTATGGGAGAATGAATGATCACTTACATTAATAAATAAAGTAAAGAAAAAGTGCTGCGAATGTGCGGCTGTGCCAATTTAGTGATTATTTAGGTAAAAACGCTAGCATTTTCGTCTTAAAACTAAGAAGGTTTGACGAACGAGTGACTGAAACAGGAAGAGAGTTCTAAATTTTAGGACCTTGGTAGAGAATTTTAAATTGCTTGAGATTTGTACGGCACAAATGCGTTCGATAATTACTGGCTGTTCTGGCCATAGTTGTGAATTCTGCTATTCGTTACAAAAAGATTGAGAAATAATGGAGGCAACAAGTTATTTCTATGATAAAACATGAATTTGGCGATTTCAAACGAATTGACTTGGAAAATATCTAAACTTCCTAGTTTGAAGAATAAAGGAGCGGAATGGGCTCGATAGTACTAGTCTCAGTTGGTGATAGCCCGCACAGCTCGCTTTTTCTAATAAATTCTATTTAAGTTAGATACGCATGTGGACGACCAGGCACAGTTACAATAGACGATTTAAGGATAAATTAAGGTGTAGTACAAAGTGAACTTGGTTGTAGAGGATGGGAAAAAGCGAGACCTAAATATAATACCCATTGATTTAGCGATTTGTTTACATACATAGCTGATATGGTGTTTCCAGGTGAGATGATCATCAGTATAGACCCCAAGGAATTTAGTTATATTAGA